CCGGTCCAGGGAGAACTGGCGGGCCGACCTCGAGGCGGCCCTTGCCTGTCGCCCGGGGCTCTTCGATGCCTTCGCCTGGCTGGATGCGCACTGGGATGGGCTCCCGACTCCACTAGGCGACTTGCCACATGCACTGGGGCGCGCTGCACCGCCCTCTGCCCGGGGGTCTTGCGGGGCCTCCCAAGACATCCTGCCAATCGCGGTTGAGGCCGTCCGGGAGCTCCCGGCCGAGAAGGTTTTGGGCCGAGGACTCGAGGAAACATCTTCGAGTTGTTGGGATGCCGGCATCCGCCAGTGGGTCTGCTGCATCCTATCCGCCCTCAACTTCTATTATATTGGTGCGAGCGCTGATCCACCGCGGAAGGGCCCGGCGCCCAAGCTATCGCAGCCTCAGATCCGGCTGGTCCTGCATGTTGGGATGGCCGGCGTCGCTGTCGTCTCCAGCCAGCCGGGCGCCGCCGGGCAGGCGCCGTCGCCTAAGGCGCTGAAGAAAAAGCTTACTTCACTTCAAATGGACTACGGGGCCTCGGGCCTGGTTGTCAAGATGGAGCCGCTCGCGCCGAGGGAGGTCATTCCGGCGTGGCCAGCTGTGGGGTCGGCGGCATCCAGCCTGTTACCAAGTTCCTCGAAGGCGTGGTGCTTGAGAAGGTTCGGACCCCCGCTTGAACCTCCTGGACCGGGCGTTTTGGAGGGGCATGATGAAGCCGGTCGAGGAGTGGGACGTATTCCGCGGCGTCGACGGCCAGCCCGTCTACAACGGGGCCGGGGGCGTGGAGAAGATCAAGTACGAGGATGGGGTCCGACGAGACCTCTTCCGTTTCATCGGCATCTTCTGCCCCCTCAACGACTCCTTGACCCGCATCGCGGGGGGCGACGACAAGCTGCCTTACGTTGGGCAGGTCTCCCTCCTTCATCTGGAGGAGGGAGGGGAGGTCCTCATCGATTCCGAGGACTTCGAGAGCTGCTTCAACCTCTTCACCCTTCCCGATGCGTGGCTCGGGTACTTCAGCTACGAGAAACTGGTACCTGGCAGCGCATTGGGCCTGCCAGAGCGAGAATGGGCACGCCCTGCTTTGTGCGTCGCGCCCATGGGCTGGTGGAACAGCGCAGTCGCAGTGATGCAATCGGTCGTCCGGCGCCTGGTGTTCGGGCTCGCGCGGGTCTCCCCCTCCACCGAGGTGCAGCAGGGCCGGGGTCTCCCCCCGCAGGACGAGCTGTCCATCCTCTACCTCGACTCGTGCGACCGGCTCCGGGTTGTCGACCAGGCGCTTGCGCGGTGTGCTCCCGGCTCGGCCTCCCGCTCAATGTGGGTAAGTCCCTTGTTGGGGCGACGGCGGCTTCCCTTCAAGGAGGTTTCCTGGGCAGCTCCCGCGGGACCTTCGGGCTCCAGCCCTCGAGGGGAGCCGACTTGGTCTGGCTGGGGCTGTCGTTGTTGGCCCAGCTTCGGCGGAGCGTGCGAGCACTCCGGCACTGGGCAGGGAAAGCTTTCTTCGCGTCGGTGTTCAGGAGGCCGCTCTATGCAGTGCTGCAGGAGGGTTTCTGGCAGATCAAGATCCTCGAGGCCGGGGCGGCGGTGCCGAATTGGACGACGCGTTCGACGAGGTGTTGTCCTTCACCATCCTCGTCCCGCTCGCCTTCACCAACATGCGTGCCGCGCTTGATGGCATAGTCTCCTGCTCGGGCGCCTCCCTCACCGGCGGCGGGGTCGCAATCGCCATGTCGTTCCGCCCGTTCTCCACCGATGGCTCGCGCCGCCAGCCATGCCCGGGAACTTGCAACTATCGGATCGGTGACCCCCGCCTTGCGGCTGACCGCCGGGAGAGTTGCGAGCAATGCAGGCGCCTCCCGTGCTTCGCAGAGCGATTCTCTTGCCCTCGGGCCCCCCTCTCGAGGGCCATGATGGGGCAGGGGGTCCCCGTGCAGACACCGTTCGACGTCGCCATGGGCCTCGACTTCTTGTCCCCGGAGGGCAGGAAAAACTTGGCCGGCGCGCAGGCCGACACGACGCTGGGCTGGGGGCATTTTGCTCCAGAATGGCGCTTCTTGTCGAAGACTTCGGGGCCGGGCCGCGTGCGAAACTCCAAGCGCATCATGGGTGTTCCCGGGCTTTCGCGCGCACTTGCCTTCGAGGTTCGGCGGTCTAACGCTATGGGCAAGAAGGCCATTTCGAGCGCACTGGAGCGCCACGGCCAAGGGAAATACTGGTGCATCGAGAACCCAGCCGACAGCTGGCTCTGGGATTTCGCACCGGCGAAGGAGCTTGAGAACAAGAATGGGGTCTTCTACACCGAGTTCTTCAGCTGCTGCTTCGGCGGGGGCCGGAGGCGCATTTGCCTCGCCCGCAACTGCCACGAACTCCACGAGGCTCTATATCGGAGCGGGCGCTCCTGCCCCTCCCGGCCGCGGGAGGGCCTGGGCAATGGCGAATGCCCGTGCCAGCGCGGAGAGCACCCGCATGCTTTGTGCAAGGTTTACGCGGAGGTGGTCGCCAGAGCGCTGACGCGACCCGCCGTGCCCCCGCGCGAGGCGGACCCGGCGAAGCGGGAGGCGGCCCTTCGAGCCCGGCTCGCCCGAGCGGGAAAGATATTCGTCGAGAAGGGCGCATCGGAACGTGTGGTCACCTCCATAAGCGAGTTCGAGGCTACCATGGTCCCGGGCAGGGAAATCGAGGATCTGAAACTCATGCTCCGCAAGTGCGACCACCGGGGCACGGACGTGAGGCTCATCGTAGAGGACCCCTTCCACTCGGCACCTGCAAGGGTACCGCACCCCGCTCTGGAGTGGGAGTGGCGTGCCGTGCTGTCGTGGCAGTTGGAGCACGAGCAACGCATCAATATCTTGGAAGCTCACGCGGCGGTTACCTGGTTGAGGCGGCGTGCCAACTCGATCATGTACCACTCCCGCCGGTACCTGCACATCTTGGACTCGTTGGTCGTGACGGGTGTGCTTACCAAAGGCCGCTCCTCTTCCAAGCAGCTGAACCGTGTCTGCCGCAAACACATGGCGGTAGCACTTGCATGTGATAATTACCCATTTTACGCCTGGACGATATCTGCGTGGAATTTTAGCGTTTTTGCCTGGAGAAATGCCGGTGCGTCGTCAGCAGGGCCGTCGCGCCCATACCCTGGCGGGCCGGTTCGCCGGCATTTGCGCTACGTTGGCATATCTCCACGCGCGTTCCAGGTTTATCGTCGAACTGTTAACGCCTTCTTCCTTTTCTTGCAGGTTCGGTCCACGGCCTTGCCCAACTCGTTGCCGGAGCTGGACCACATGGCGTCTGAATTCATCAACGAGTGTTGGCAAGAGGGGGGGCCCATTGGCTTCTGCGGCCACCTCTTGAGCGGCCTGCAACGCTTCTTCCCGCAGTGCAAGCGCCGCCTCAATACGAGTTGGTTTTTCTACAACAATTGGAATTCAACAGTCGTGCCCAACAGAGCCACGCCGCTCCCGAAGCACATTGTGGCCGCCCTGGCTTCTGCTGCGGCCCGGGCGGGGGATCTGAGGTTGGCCGCGGGGCTCCTTGTTGGGTTCGCGGCTTTTCTTCGGACTACCGAGCTTCTGTCGCTCGAGAAACGTCACATCCGGCTGTTTCCTGAGTCCAACACGGTTTTCATCGCACTGGAGTCCGCCAAGACTGCAGGCAGAAAGAGAGCCAGGGAGTCGGTGCACTTCGTGGACCGCGTCATTTTGACATTGCTGCAGCGGGCCTTGGGCGGCCTTTCTGACGATGACCCCCTCGTCCAACAAAGGGGAGGTGCTTTTTCAAGGGCGTTCCAAGCTCTGTTGAGGTTCACACATCTGGAGCACGTGGGGTTCCTGCCGTACTCCCTCCGGCGAGGAGGAACCTCGTGGTACTTCACAAAGGTGCAGAGCATGGACGCGACTATTGTACGAGGCCGCTGGCAGCACCCACGCACAGCTATATATATATATATATATATATTGAGGACAGCACAGCAGCCTTGGTGCTCTTACAGTTACCCGCCGAAAGTGCGGAGATTGTGCAGTGCCTGTGCTTGTGGTGGTCAACGTGGTGATCATCGCCTTCGGCCTTGCTCAGGCAGTGAGTGGTTTGGGGTGTGCCGGCCATGAGGCTTGTGGTTTTTGTCATCGGGTGCGCCAGCTAACAGTGCGGGCTGCGAGGCCGGCCTCGCTCGGCAGCGGCTCCGAGGCATGACCCAAAAACGTCTGCCGAGCCGCGCCTCACTGCAAGACACTGCTGTTGCAGCGCGCCTGGAAAGACAAGGCGTGCGAGCGATAGGAATCAGCACCGCCCCGACGAATGGAGGTAGGAGCGGGTCTATCGCGGCGCCGGTGATTCCGCAGCCTTTTCAGGCCACCTCCACCCCGCCGGCCACCCGAGCCCAAGGCGGGAGTCTCTACCGCCTTGTGAATTGGCATCCTTGGCGAGGGTGTTCTACCGCCTCCCCGGCGAGTTACGTGCCGCCATTTTGGTGAGGGCTGCGAGGCCGGCCTCGTTCGGCAGCGGCTCCGAGGCATGACCCAAAAGCGTCTGCCGAGCCGCGCTTCGCTGCAAGACACTGCTGGTGCAGCGCGCCTGGAAGACAAGGCGTGCGATATATTATATATATATATATATATATATATATATATATATATATGCTCGCCCCCCCTCCTATGATCTACCTTATGTCTTTTTTGTAGCACAAAGGAGCACAGTGAATCAGCGAGACCACTTCGAAATCATACCTCGCGCAGCATATGACTTGGTCTGATGCGGGAAAGGAGCATCGCTCGCAAATGACATAAACAATCAATAAAGACCCTTGAGCATTTCACCAGTGCAAGCCCACAAATCCGCACCTTTGTTCCAGTATGTCCACTGGGCGGAACGAATGCGGCGCGTTGCGGCAAGGGTGCCAACCCTGTGCGTGCGCGATTGCAAATGCTTCCGCAGATGCGACCAGAATCGATCGATGATCTGCGTTCCCGACTTAGTGTACATCTGCTCGCCAGTCGGCATTCTGTGGGCCACAACCTCAGAGTATTTTGTGGCCGGCTTCGATCGCAGACACATGTGCGATGAAGTTCTCGTCGTGCACGTCGAGCCCCATGGGTCTGAAGTAAATACCGTCGTAGACTAAAGAGATCGGCACCGCACCTGCTTCTTCCAACAGGTGCTTCATGTCCATCAGGACACTGCACTCCAGTTCGCCGAGGAAGATGTGCAGCGAGCTGCAATCTGGTCGCGCCTTCGCGACCTCCTGGTAAAGAACGTCGTGCTCGAGAAGAAACCGAGAAGCATTGACTATTTCCGTCTGCAAACAGTCCAAGTGTGGGAGCCAGTCAGGCCGCTCCTGTGGATTTGGCGACTGCCGCCCGTAGGGGCTGGTTGCCGAAATCAGCAGCTTCTTCGCGACGGCCACCTCGACGTCGAAGTACTTAGACACAAAAGTCTTCCATCCGTCCCAGTTGCTGACAACGTTGCACAGAAGCGGGAACTCTGCTTCGACGTTGAGCTGATCGTGCTGCTTTAAGGCAACAACCAACAAGCTGAAAAACGCAACCTTCATGTCGAGTTCTAAAACGCCTCCTGGAATGCCGGCCAAGGCGGCGCGCCGAGCTTCCCTGGTAACTTTCTGGAGTGAAGGTCCCGCAGTATGAATTCGCCCAAATCCATATTTCATGTAGGTCCGAAGAAGACTCCTCAATGAGCGCTGTCCGCCGTCTGCAGCGACTTCCATGGATGCGGTTCCTCGTTTCTCCAATAAACGAGAATATCCTTGAATCTGGGCCTGCCGCCGGTCGACGCCAGAATCGACGTGGGCAACCAAGCCGTTGATGTCCACGACGTCCGCCACCGCGCACGCAACGGAGCAGTTTGCCTGACGGAATTCCTGCTCTTCATCAGACAACAGGTAGTCTTTATCCTCAGGCCGAGCTCCCATGAGCCATCTTTCGCTGGGACTTGCCGTCGGCGCTGGGATGTCAAAAGACCGGGTAAGTTTCAACATCTTGTCAGTATCAACTGGAAATACTAATGCATAGAGCTGCTGCTTGCCGAAGAAATTGACATCGGTGTCCTTCTGGATCAAGTATTCGGCCAAAGGCCCACAGCTTTTTGCGAGCGTCACAAATTTTGTGAAAGCCGAACCTCTTGGAACATCGAGCAAACTGCATAGCTCTCTCGCGACTTTCCAGTCCCCAACCTGTCTGCCCCTGCCTTTTGCTAATTTGCGCTCCTCTCCATGCTTCTTCTTGTTCTCTTCCTGCCATAATTTTCTCAAGCAGCAAGCTAAGGCGCCCCACTCAGAATCGCTACCACCAGCTCGCTCGCCTGCGGCGCCAGGTGATATATCCATGACGCACTTGGGCCTTGGATCGCACTGCTGGTTGGTCAGACGCTGGATGTACCAGCGCGTGGACACCTTCATGTGCTCATCGAGATTATCTGGTTCGAGTGTGCTCACAATGGCCGACGTGTCCCCGAGTGCATCCCAAGTCGGCTGTGGAATCTCTCTGAAATACACGTGAGCTCCAGCAGGGCACGCCAATATATTTTCCAAAATATCCGAAGCAATTTTCAAGAAGCGGCCGTTCTCGTGGTCGACGTCTTTACTGTCGATAACCAGCGTTGCAAGGCCCACGGCCGACGCCAAATAACGGCGGTCCACTGACTCCGTGGGGGACTTTCGGGGTGCTCCTTCTTCCCCGCGCACTTCAAGATCCTGCGCGGCAACGCTTCGGGGAATCGACATGACAGGAGAGACGTCGTCGTAATTGCAGCTCTGCTGCTTCTTCATTTTGTTGTAACGAACTTCGCTGGAGAATCCGCAGTTTGCCCTGACGATCATCTCCTCGCCCGCAATGAAGCGTTTGAGCACGTCCACGTTGATCCTGACGTTGGCTGAAAGGGTTTTCGACTCTTTAATGCACACTCGCTTCTTGTGAAGGCCGAAGTGCGCACTTTTCCGCCACTCGTTGTCGTCGACGAATATGGCGGGGTCGAGGGTGGCCGAGTTCTGCTGGCCAAAAAGCGAAGACTCCAGAATATCGAATGCGCCCTTGCCATCACCACCTTCTCCGATCGCCACCATCATGACGGGCACGTGAATGCCGAAGAAGGCGCAGTATGTCGAAGCGCACGAGGTCACGAAGTATCCGTCGTTCTTGTAGAAGAAGGAATCGATGTAGTCATGAACTACCTTCCTTACGTCCGATAACGAATACTGTCTCCCGCGGACCACAGGGCAATCGGCGAGCGTAACGTTGGCCTCCTCGTACTTGAAAGGCACGCGGAAGTAGCAGTTGTGCTGCGGATCTGGTTCAGCCAGCTTCATGTTTACGTCCCTGTACCCGTCGTCGAAAACAAACCCCTGGGACGGAGGCTTCTCGGTGTTCATCTTGGCGGTGAATGCTTTCCAAATTTCCGATTTCGAACCTCTCGACGAATCCTGCTCGTAATAAACTGGTAAGTTCGACAAGATCTCGGCGAGCTTGGCTAGGCTGTTGGCCATATACTTTTTCCCTTTGGTCTCCTTCAAATTTCGGTCCCAACTCAGCTTCGCCTTCTGCCGGCATGTGTCTGGTAACTTGTCCAAAGAAGTGCCAAGGTTCGAACTTGGCGCCCAACGACGACGACGCCGCCACGGCGAGCGCGTTCAGGGTGCACAAGGAAAAACGACCTTGGTTCAACATCCTGTCGTTTGGGATGGCAGGCACTCCAGACACCTGCGCCAGCATCGTCGGAGCCGGCGCCGCGTCAGCGTCGTCGCCAGGGTTAGCCTGGGGGAACTGGGAAAAAGCAAAATATTCAACTGCGATCACATCCGTCCCCGCCCCCGACCCCCCTGGCCATCCCTACTGTCTATGCGCCAGTAAAACAAGATCGCATGTCATCGTTGAATACATGGGGCATTTTCCGCACTCCCGCGGCCAAGAATGCGGGCGCGGGACTCGACGCCGCAACTGACGACGCCTCGGACGCCGCAGGAGCAGGCGGCGCCACCGTTTCGGCTCGCTGGCCGTCGGAGGTTGGGGTAGTCCTCAGCTCCGTGAGCATGTTCAGCGAGCGCAGGATGGCGGTGGCTGTGTCTGGAATTGGGAAGCAAGCAAAGCTTTTTTGTTGTGCGAAGTCGTTAAAAATATTAACAACGTGTATGAATCACCGCTACGCTCTCGTTAAAACGACAACTGAGCACTCAGCTGACGCTCAGACTCAGAATGGTACTGCTGTTAGGTCGTCGGAGGGCCTCCGAGTATGGGAATATAAAAATGGCAATGATTCAAGCATGTTGTTACGGTTGAAATTAATGCTTTGTTCGCTTCCCAGGCCTGGAGAGAGCTCGGGCAGCGTCCTGTCAAGCCAGGTTTTCCGGAAGGGTGCGTCCAGCTCTCGCAAAAATTGGATCAACTTGCGGCGCTTGCGGTCGGCGTGGTTCTCGACGGTCTGCGGGTTCTCGCACAGGATGCAGATGGATCCTGCGTGTTTGACGGTGCGCGCATTGCCGTCCTCTCGCCAATGGCACGTGCCGCTTTGGCAAGCGTTGACCATAGTGACTGAATGCGGGATCCGCTCAGGTAGTCCGGAGCCTTGAGCCAAATGCAGCGGCGTTGGTAGAAGGTAGAACTAAGATTTGAGGAGAAGGAGGAAGTGGAGAGGAGGCAAGGAGAGGAAAGGAAGGATGAGGAGGAGGGGGAGGGCAGATAATGAAAGCTCACTCAACGTTCTCCTCCTCCTGCTGCTAATCCTCCTCCTCCTCCTCACTCCACCTCCTGCTCCTCCTCCTCACCTCTGCTGCTGCTGCTCCTCCTCCTCTTCCTGATTCCTCCTCCGCTCCCTCCTCATCCGTCTTCTCTTCCTGCACCTCCTCCTCTACCAGCTCCTCTTCCTCCGCCTCCCCCTCTTCCTCATTATCCTCCGATTACTTTTCATATGCCTCCAACTCCTTCTGCGCCTCCTCCTCCGCATCCTCTTCTTCTGATCCTCCTACTCCTGCTCCTCCTCATTCTCCTCCGCCGCTTCCTCTTCAGGAGGACTGGACGTAGTCTGAGGCGCACCGATCCGTCCTAAAAAGACCGGCGCACTTTACAGAAGGCAGGACCTCGCCATGGTCAAGCCGGGACCCTGGGGGAGTGGGAGGAGGAGGAGAAGCAAGAGGAGGAGTGCGGAGGAGGAGGAGGACGACGACGAGGACGAAAACTGAGGCCTCAGTTTTAACCCTCAAGCGGGCCAGGTCACCGAAGGCCATGGCGCCGTTTGTGGACGTACGCTGTCCTTTCATCTGATCGCTCCTGATCGCTCCTTCTCCTCCTCCTCCTCCTCCTCCTTGCCCTTCCTCCTACCTCTCCTCCTCCTCCTCCCCCCATCCGCCATTCCTCCTCCTCCTCCTCCTCCTCATCTCTTCGGGCCTGGAGCGGCAAAACGGGAGAATGAGAGAGTCGAGGAGCGGGAGAGCGGGAGTGCGGAAGGGCGGGAGGGCGGAGAGCGGGAGAGCGGGAGAGCGGGAGAGCGGGAGAGCGGGAGAGCGGGAGAGCGGGAGAGCGGGAGAGCGGGAGAGCGGGAGAGCAGGGGAGCGGGAGAGCGGGAGGGCGGGAGAGCGGGAGAGCGGGAGAGCGGGAGAGCGGGAGAGCGGGAGAGCGGGAGAGCGGGAGAGCGGGAGAGCGGGAGGGCGGGAGAGCGGGAGAGCGGGAGAGCGGGAGAGCGGGAGAGAGCGGGAGAGCGGGAGAGCGGGAGCGGGAGAGCGGGAGAGCAGGAGAGCGGGAGAGCGGAGAGCGGGAGAGCGGAGAGCGGGAGAGCGGGGGGCGGGAGAGCGGGAGGGCGGGAGACGGGAGAGCGGGAGAGCGGGAGGGCGGGAGAGCGGGAGAGCGGGAGAGCGAGAACGCGCCAACTGGGCTTCCTGGGTGGCACGGGTGGCCCGAGAGGCCCCGGGACGGAATGGCCCGGGCCTGGATGGCCACTCTCCCGCCCTCCCGCTCTCCCGCTCCTCCCGCTCTCCCGCTCTCCCGCTCTCCCGCTCTCCCGCTCTCCCGCTCTCCCGCTCTCCCGCTCTCCCGCTCTCCCGCTCTCCCGCTCTCCCGCTCTCCCGCTCTCCCGCTCTCCCGCTCTCCCGCTCTCCCGCTCTCCCGCTCTCCCGCTCTCCCGCTCTCCCGCTCTCCCGCTCTCCCGCTCTCCCGCTCTCCCGCTCTCCCGCTCTCCCGCTCTCCCGCTCTCCCGCTCTCCCGCTCTCTCCCTCCGCTCCCGCTCCCCCGAGTGCCCCCGAGAGTGGAAGTCAAGGCCCAACCCCGAGGGCTTCCGAGTGGAAGTTAAGGCCGCAAAGAGGCTTAGGTAGATCATAGGAGGGGGGGCGACCATATATATATATATATATATATATATATATATATATATAGATATATACATTCACACATATGCAGACACCTGTACATTAATAAGTATGTATGCATGTATGCGTGCATGTATATACGTATGACTGTATGTATGTATGAGTGCATGTATGTGTGCAGGTATGTATGTACGTAGGTAGGTCGGCCGGTAGGTAATCATGTATGTATCTATGCATACATGCATGGTCACTACTTTTATTTCAATTATTATTGCTAGTTTAATTATTATTATTATTCTTATTATTATCATTTTTATTATCGTTATTATTATGATTATTTTAATTATTTATTATTTATTATTTTCTTATTATTATTATTATTCTTTTTATTAGTCCAACCTATCATTCTTATGACATATATATATATATATATATATATATATATATATATATATATATCAGCAGCCTGGCCCTGGTGCTCATTGCCCCATCATCCTCGTCCCTCCGCGTGCCTCCTCGTCCCTCCTCCTCCTCCTCCTCTTCCCTCGTGTTCCTCATCCCTCCCCCCTTCCGCCCTTCCTCTGCATTCTCCTTTGCCCTCGGGGAGCACAGAACCCCGCCCCGATGCGTTGCGCCTCCCGTGCTCCTTGTCTTATCTTCGGCTGGCCCCCCTTGGCGCCCAGCTTCCCTCCTCCGCGTCCTCCTCCTCCTCCTCCTCCTCCTCCTCCTCAACAATTACTCAATAAGAATACTACTCTCCTTCTTCCCCTGATGACGGTTTGAAAGTATTAGCCCCCCCCCCCCGCGTACTGTTTTTTACACGCAGGATTCCCCAGAATTGGGTTTTCGCTTGCATTTTTTCCAAGATGCTACTCTCGCTGAGGCGCCGGCTTTATTTTCGGGCCCCGCTCGTTCCGAATCGGGCTCCCGCTGCAGCGCTGGCCTCATTTTCTTGCTTCCGCTCGTTCCGAATCGTGCTTCCGCTGCAGCGCTGGCCTCATTTCCGCGCTTCCGCTCGTTCCGACTCGTGCTCCCGCTGCAGTGGTGGCGTCATTTCACGTGCCATGCCACGGCATGCAATGCCATGCTAGGTTGATGCTACGCTTTGCGGTGCTCTTCTACGCCATGCCATGCCGTGCTCTACAATGCATCGCGTAATTACCCTTTCGGGATCATTGCCCTGCTCGGCATCCGACGGTGCGAGTAGACAGGGGATCTACGCCATGGTCAGGGATGGGAGGGAGGGGTAGGATGTCAAATATGGCGCGAGCGCACCTAGCTTGTCCTCCTCCCCTCCCCCTCCTCCCCCCTCCTCCTCCCCCTCCTCCACCTCTTCCTCCTGCTCCTCCTCCTCCTCCTCCTCCTCCGCGTCCTCCTCCAGATCGCGAGCGTGGACGGGTCCTCTCTCTCGGGGGCTGCCCATGTCGCGATTGTGGATCGGTCTTCGCTCGCCAAGGCTGAGCGAGACCCAGACACCCGACGATTCGAGTAGGGGATCGACTGCAGAATTGATTCACCCCAGAATTTGTTCTCTCGTCGGACATACCAGAAGATTGCGCATAATGTTTGTAGATGAACGAACATTGTACGCATTCTACGTCGAGTCGACGAACAAATCAAGTTTGCGGTAAATCAATCCTGTAGTCGATCCTCTACTCGAGCGATGTGTTTGTCCAATGTGCGGCCCAGAGGTCCCGACCTCTTCCCCGCGGGGAGTTTTTAATTCCGCATTCATTTCTGATGGCACCTGGAGCCCGTCATCGGGCCCCAGGGGCCGAACTGAAGGAACATCGTCGGGATTGAGACAAGCATGTCGTCGGAGATCTGGACCATGCGTGGTTTCTGGGCCAAGACCGGCGCCTCCGGCGGCCGCTCGAGTCGAGCCAGGCACCCACAGCACGCTCTCGACGAGGCGCAGCCTCCAAAGAGCAACCCGAGGCTTGAAAGCCTCTGGGAAGCGACGACGACGTCTGAGAACCTCGAGTGATGGGCCTGTTTTCCACCACCACCACCACAAGTTGGAGGGGGACGGGGTCCTCCTCCTTCTCCTCCTCCTCCTCCTTCTCTTTGTCCTCCTCCTCCTCCTCCTCGTCCTCCACCTCCTTCCCCCCTCCAACTTCTATTGTGGTGGTGGTGGTGGTGGTGGTGGTGGTAACAGGCCCATCATCGAGCATCGAACCTCGGCCTTCGGAAACCGGGGCCCCCCTCCTCTGCGGGGTTCGCGCGGCTGCCGCGGGGCCAGCCCGGCTGCTCTGGGCACGCTGGGGTCGGAAAATTTGGGGAAGCGAGGAAGACGTTGGAGCTCCTCTTCCTCCTCCTCCTCCTCCTCCTCCTCCTCCTCCTCCTCCTCTTTGGAGAACCACCTGCCTCGAGCGTCGGAGATTTGGCAGGCCCCCCTCTGCCTTCTCCCCCAGATGGTGATCGTGGAGCACGGGTCGCGGTCGCAGACCGGTCGGAGGAAAGGAACGCGACACCACCACCAGGGGTGCCATCTCCAGCGAGGAGGCCCACGATGCCTCCCCGAGCTGGGGACGGGGGGTGTCTCCAGCGGGGAAGGGGGGGGCTACACCACAGGGGAGACCTCCCTTGGCTCCTCGCGCCAGTGGTGTTGGCGTTGCTTGTCCTTGCTCCCAGGCCAGGGTCCGCTCGTCGCTGGATCGGTGTGGGGACTGCCCCGAGGGCCTGGGTTGTGCCGGGCGGACCACGTCGTGCGGGCGCGCCAGGAGCCTGGTAAGGGCGACGGCGACGATGGCGCTCCTTCTGCGCTCTCTCCGCCCTCGCCCTTTTTCCCTCATCCCTCCGTCCGTTGGCGGGGGAGTGTCGGGGCCAAGGGGTCATCCATGGATTCCTGAGGATGCCCAAGGCATGCCAGCGGGAGGTCCGATATGGATTCTTGGCGGCTTCCGGAGGATTCTTAATGGGGCTCCTGAGGATTCCTGGGGGATTCCTGGGGGATTCCCTGGGGAGTCCCCAGGATTTCTCAGGGAATTCCGAGGGTTCACGAGGCTTTATGGTTGCTGATCTTCATGACGTTGGTGATGATGGTGGTGGTGGTGGTGGTGCTGGTGAGGATGATGAGGGGGATTCAGAGGGGGAGGCGGTGGTGATACAAATTGTCATGTTGCTTATGCTTCTGCTGAATGGCGCTCGTAATGCTGATGAGGATGGCGATGGCGACGAGGTGGGTGGCGGGGGGACGAGGAAAGGGAAAGGCCGTCGTAGAGGACGCCGTTCGTCGTCACTACGCGGGGGTGTCACGTGAATCTCGTTTGTGTCGTCTCTGGGGTGTGATGCCCTCTTGTGAATTCGTGGTAGTCTGTGGGCTGTGTTCAAGCGTGTAGTTTCGCGTTTCGTGCTCGCCTCCTCCTCGTCCTGGTCCTACTAAGGCTTCCTGATGAAAGATCCCTGGCGAAGGATTCCGTACTCAGGATTCCTGACCACGGATTCCTCTGTACGGATTCTTTGCTGAGGGAGGACCCCATGAACCAACATCCCCGTCCAAGATAACCTTGCTAAGGAATCCTTGCGAAGGGTTCCTTCATGCGGGTTCCTCACTAAGGATCCGCTTCTAGGGGTTTGTCATTCAGGAGTCCGTAAGAAGAAGACCCTCGTTCAGTTTCTTTATCAAGATTTTTTTGTCCAGGTTTCGTTGCTTACTTTTTTTGGCTTGGGCGAAGGATTCCTTATTATGGATACCTGACTCAGGGTCTCCATAGGAAGGAAGCATTACTAGGGTTCCTTACCAGGGATCCCCAAATGGAATATTCCTGAAACGTGATCCCTGAACAAGGCTTCCCTTGTGCGGATTCCGTACTACGGATTTGCTCTGAAAAGGGCTCCTTCGTAAGACGTCGTTCGTCTGGTAACCTTCCTGTGGGTTCCCTACTCAGGATTCTTCCGTATGGGTTCTTCATTCAGGATTCCTCAGGGAGGACTACTGGCTAAGAGCTCCTTATGACGGACCTCTGATTAAGAATTCCTTACGGAGGGATTCCAATTCAGCATTCTGTATTAAGACGTCCTTATGTCAGACTTCCGACGGACGGGTCCTCACGAAAGGCTCCCTGGTTATAATTTGTTACTGAAGATCCTTTTTCAAGGGCCGCTAGCTAAGGATTTGACATTGCGAAAAGCTCAGTAAGAGTTCTTGCTACGCATCCAAAGGGGTCCTCAACACAAGTTCCTGACTCAGGAATCCTTTTCCAGGACCACATGGTAAGGGCCACTTGCTCATGATTCCTCAATGAGGACTCCTTATTGGGGATTGGAATCCTTACGAAAGATTTCTCACTGCGGATTCCTTGCTACATGTTCCTTAATAAGAATGCGCGAAGGGTTTTTGGGCCAGGAAGCCGTATTAAGAGTTCCGTATATTTTATATGATGAAACAGCGTAAACAAAGTTTTTGTCTCCCCCTTGTTTTACCACTCCCCTCTCGGGATTCATTGTTTCGGATTATGCATCAAGGGTTCCTTCCCCAGGATGCCTTATGAAGAGTTCCTTGCGGGGGCTTTCTCGTTCAAGGTTGCTTGGTAAGACTTCCTTGCTGGTGGTTCCCTGCTAAGGAGTCCTTATTGATGAGGCTTTTCGAAGGACTCCTTAGTAATATTACCCAGTCAGGTTTCATTACTCCGAACCCCTTACCCAGAATTCCTTTCCAAGGATTCCGACTAAGGGCTCCTTATTAAGGGATCAACATTTCGGATGTTGTATTCCGGTGTCTCTAGTAAGGCAGCCTTACCAAGGGCTCCTTACCAAGATGTCCGTTGCTGATGTTCCTGACGAAGGGTTCTTTGCACACGATCTTTAAATAACGGATTCTTCAGTACGGGTCTATGTTACTATGCAGTTGTTTCTTTCATGAGCGGTCTCCCTGGTAAGACATTTCACAAAGAGTTGCTTATACAGGAGTCCTTCATATGGATTCCTTAGTTTAAGATTCCTTTTCGCGTGATCATTACTACGGATTTCTTTGTCATGGTTTACTGAGGGTGTTTTCGTGAGGATTCTTTATTGCGGATTTCTGATCATGGATTCCTTTTCAGGGTTCCTTATTCATGATTTCTTCGTTAAGTCCTTTGCGCAGGAATTCCCATCGAGGATTTTTTGCATTCAGACCTCCTGACTCATGAATCCTTGCTAGGGAGCTCTCAGTAAGGAGGCGCTATTCAGGAATATTTGCTCAGGATTCCTTGGTCAAGATTTGTTATTCAGGATCCCCTGGCCAAGGTTCCGTTTCCGAGGGTTTCTTGCCGAGGATTCCTTACTATGTATATTGTAGCATGCATGCCGTATGAAGGACCCCCTAGGAAGGAAACCTTGTCTTACCAAGATTTCATTGTTTAGAAGGGGTCGTGATGTGGGTGTGCGACCGAGAATCCACATTTGTTTTTCTCCTCCCTCTTTCCAATTCGGCAGCTTTCTCAAGCGTTCCCTCCGGATTTCTTATTCTAAGGATCCTTTACATCGGATTCCTTGCGCACGATCTCTTTATCCAGGATTTTCCAGTACGGATTTTCTTCCTATGAAGGCTTCCTTCCTCTAAAGGGTCCCCTTCGTAAGGTAACCCTCTCAAGAGTTCCACGGTCAGGAACCCTTGCTATGGATTCCCGATTTGATTCTTCATCGTGGGATCTTTATTACGGATTTAATATTAAGGGTTGACTCAAGGGCCCTTCGTGGGGATTCCTTATAGCGTATCCCTTACCAAGGATTCCTTCTCAAAGGGTTCCTTATTCAGAATTTCTTAGTAAGGGCTCCTTACAGTTTCCCACTCAGGATCTTGTTCGTAAGACCACCGCTTGATTCATGATTCCCCAACAAGGAGCCCGCGCGAAGGAGGCGCTATTCAGGAATATTGCGAAGTATTCTACCGCGAGATTCGTTACTAAGGTTCCCTTGGGCATTTCTTGATATATATATATATATATATATGAGGATTCCGCACCAATGACTCCAAATTCTGTATTCATTTTCTCGGATACCGTACTCCCCAGTTCGAAATCCTTACTACGGCCGTCTTACTAAGGATCCTTTGTTCGAGTTCTCCTGAGTAAACGTTCTTTAGTAAGGAAACCTTATTAGAAGTTCCCCAGTCTGGATTTCGTTCGTGCGGGTTCCTTATGAAGGATTCCTTCCTCAGGGTTCCTTGTTGAGGGTTCCTTATCAAAAAGGTTCCTCGTAGGACTCTACGAAGAGTTTCCAAGTCTGGATTTCGTATTTTGAGTTCCTTAGTATGGACTCTTTACAAAGGAGGCCTTATCAACAATGCGCTAGTCAGGAACTCCATATAAAGGATCCCGCTGAATTTCGCATAATTCTTGGGATTCGCAAGGAGTTGTAGGGATTCGGAAGGACCCCATGGGATTCGCAGGGTCCCTATAGGAGAACTTCGCTGGTGGACACAATCGACAGCGACCGAGGGTATCCTTGGACACCCTTGAGGGATTCCCTGGCAGACCAGGGAAAGCTGCAGCCTGGTTGCCGGGTTGCCGGGATTGCCCCAGGGCCATCAAGTACGCTTCAACCCCAGGGGTCCAGGCAAACCCTACAGCCCCACCCCCCGCGGCTTTCAAGTCCGCTTCATCCCGTCCGCTTTCAAGTTGATCCCCCCTCACCGGTGCGTATGGTTTCTTCTCAATCAAAGTGTGCCCCTCGACGCTCGTACCCTGTTTTTTGTCAGGGAAAGCCTTGATGCTCAAACTGCGCCCCTGGCCCCCGGGTTACAACAACAACGGCTCCCGCTTGAGACCTCCTCGCAATTTAGCCAGGACCCCCGCTCCCGCCCGAGACTTCCTCGCATTTTATTCAGGAATCGCGATATCGCTTGGGACTTCCTTATTCAGGAATCGCTCTCCCGGCGCTCTGGAGTCGCGCTCTCGCTGGAGACTCGCTTGCACTTTATTGAAGTATAGCGCCCTTGCGTTGGAATTTCTGGCAATTTGCTCAAGCGCCGCGCTCCCGACACCCAGGCACCCAGGAATCGCGCCCGTTGTGGCCCCGTGTGCATGCCCTTCATGGCCCCGCTGTCGCCGTTTGTGGCCCCCTCACTGTCCTACGTGGCCCAATTGCTACCTTCAGTGGCCCCATCGTTGCCCTCTGTGGCCCCGCATTATCTCTGCCCTTCGTGGACCCCGCTCGTTCGCGCTCTTCGTGGCCCCATACGCAATCCCTTCGTGTCCCCGCTGTCGCCCTTCGTGGCCTACTTCGTGGCCTACTTCGTGTCCTTCACGGCCCTGCTGTCGTTTTCTCTCGCTCTCGCTTTCGCTCGTCGCCGTCGTCGTCGTCGCCGTCGCCGTCGTCGTCGACGTCGTCGTCGTCGTCGTCGTCGTGGTCGGTCCCCTATCCGTCCCTTTTGGGGTCGGGTCGACGGTCCGCGGCCGCCCCGCCGATCAGCGCTGCCGCTGGCCAGGCCGACGGTCCGCGGCCGCCCCGCCGCTTGCCGGGGCCTGGCCTGCAGGGAAGAAAAGTATACCCCCCAAAAGGGATTTGTTTCAAGACGAAGAGGGCGGGTATCGAGGGTTTGGGAAATACGCGTTATTGGAAACTCCAGCAGATAAGGGCGAACAGTCTTAAAATGATTGTTGTTGTTGTTGTGGTTGTTGTTGTTGTTGTTGTTGTTGTTGCGGTTGTTGATGCTGTTGAATTCTCACGATTGAGGAAGAATCATTGTTGATCTCCCCCTCCGGTGACCGTGGTGTTTTTTCAAGTGAAGTGCTTCCCC